ACAGCCGGCGTCCTTAATCTGGACCTGACATTTAATTGGCAAAAAAAATATATAGTTTCCCTCCAGTCAAATAAATTGTTCCTAAATTGGAGTCGTATATCGGAGAGATTATTGCCAAGCGAATGGTTAGGATTTCAGTTCATGGTCAGCGATTCATTAACCCACAATGTAGGCATTTCCAAATGGAAGCTAAAACCTCCACAGACTTTTTCCTTGGAGTGGAAGGGAAGTAAGCAGGATTTTTTCATGGCTCCAAGGTGACATGTCTAGCAACGGAATCGGAATTCAGTCAATCCTGTGGGTGTCTCTGTTGTCCGCTCCTTGGGTCAGGCAGATACAAGGTACTCCGAGACACTGCTAATGACAGGCAGACTGTCTTATTGGCAGGACGTGGAGGGCAGACAGTCCCCGGAGATTCTTCCCACTCGGCTCCTGTTAACCCTGTAAGCCAAAGCCCTACGGGTGGTCCGAGCTGCTCAAGCAGTGGGAAGCTTAGCAGTTCATGTTCTGCCTGATTAATCTCCCAATACACACCCTAGAGTCCCCCAAAAGTCTTGGCTCTTGCCAACTTGTGCCTAATATCTTTAGTTCAGTAAGTGTGTGTACCCCCAGAGAGAGTGGTATGCATTCCCTTCCAGAGCAATGGATATTTCCATGCGGAGGTGGAAGTCTCTTTCAGACACACGGCTCAGCAAAGAGAAAAATCCCCTGAATCCCAAGGCGACTTCATTGGATCGCATTACAGCTGGAGTTAGTCAAATCAGGAGAGGGGTTAGCCCAGCAAAAGTGACTTTGACCTATTATTTCTGTGGAGTCCTGTAGGGGTTAGAGCACTCGCCTCGCAAGCGAGAGAACCTGGGTTTGAATCCCAGGTAGAGCGCAATGTTGGGCAAGTTTCTAATCTCCACATACCTGTTTACCTAGCAGTAAGTAGGAACCTGCTTGTTAGTCCGGGGTTAATAATCCCTTCAATAAATAAATAAAATAATAATAATAATTTGGTCACTCAATCCACGACTGTTTGGGGGACACCGCTGTGCGCAAATGGCTGCCGCGTTTCACCCACAAAATATACAGTCAATTCACTTTACAGTATATTTGAGACGTCTCAAAGACATAATGAAATATCCATTGCTCTGGAACGGAATGCATGCGCCATATCAAATGCAAGGATTATCATCGTATGAGGGAAGAATGACCAATTGGGTGACTGATGGATTATTATTACATTATTATTATTTTGGGTTCCAGATTCGTATAAAAGCCACATAATAAATACTCCACAGAGAACCATAATAAATATATACTAGAATTGGAAAGATTTTATTGGTCCACTAGGCATGCATCTAATGGACGTCTGGCCCCCAAAGTGTATTGGATTGATGTTCATTTCAGTCTCTGTGTTCTGTAGACCGAGTCAACGTTACTCTGCAATCTGGAGAACAGGCATTAGACAGTTGATTGGGCGTTTGGATTCCCTTTTCCCTTCCATATTTATAGCCCACAGAGGAGCATGGCAAAGATTTATTGTGTGTGTGTGTGTGTGCGTGTGTTTTCTAATTAAGAACTCTACTAGAGAGTTCAATATGTGAAAGGATCCCTTCAAAAAAAATAATAATAATATGGTCACTCGATCCACCACTGTTTGTAGGACACTGCTGTGCGCAATTGGATGCCGGTTGTTAATCGATTGGAAGATCACTCTTCCGGGTGTAATAATCCCTTAAAAAAATGTGGTCACCAAATCCACGATGGTTTGTGGGATGCTGCTGTGCATAATTGGCTGCCGAGGTTCGCTCACAAAATACACAGTCAATTTGATTACAATATGTTCTGTGAAGCGCTTGAGACGATTCGAAGATGTGGTAAGGCGCTATATCAAATGCAAGGATTATTATAAGGATAAAAGGCCCATTGTGCAAGACCTGGAACTGAACCTGCATTCGGAACTGGAAACGGATCGCCAATGATAAATTGCGTAGGAAACCAACAAATACCTGGTAAGAAAAAGAAAAAGAGTGTGCAAGCTGAACATCGACAGCAGGTCAGCGAGCATGTGGAAGAGAAAAATGTTAACAATTCAGCTTTGACCCTTTTCTGATCATGTTTCATTCCTGAGCCAAGTGTTGGGCCCAACAGCTGAATGAAAGTTTACTGTTGAGTTTAAAAGGATTTCCTGACTTACAAAAAGTGTCATCGCAGTGCTAAAACAGAGGAAATATAACAGAATTCAAAACCAAAATGAAAACCATCCACACACTTCAGGACATGGAGTCCTGTAGCTCAGTGGTTAGAGCACTCGCCTCTCAAGCGAGAGGACCGGAGTTCGATTCCCGGGCAGGGTGAAACTTTGGCCAAGTTTCCTTACTCCACACACCCCTGTTTGCCTCGCAGTAAGTAGGAACCCGGTTGTTAGTCGATTGAAAGATCACTTTTCCGGGTGTAATAAACCCATAAAAAAATGTGGTCACTGAATCCGTGACAATTTGCGGGACACTGCTGTGCCCAATTCGCTACCGAGTTTCCCCCACAAAATATACAGTCAATTCACTTTACTTACGGCTAGCTAAACAAAGGTGTGTGGAGTGAGGAAACTGACCAACATTTCACCCCCCCACCCCTGCCTGGTAATCGAACCAGGTTCCTCTCGCTTGCGATGCAAATGCTCTAACCACTAACCCTCAGGACTCCAACAGTTGAGTATCAGAGGCAAGCAGAGGAGTGGGGTAGGAGCAGATGGGGAAGTGGAGGGATTTAGGGTAACTTTAAACAGTTGATGCTCTGTACGAGATGAATGAAAACTAAAACAATGGATTGCATCTGTAAGATAGGAAGCTTCACCAAGGCCAAAAAGATAGTCCATACATAGGAGATGTGAACTATCTGAATAAACTATCTGAGCCAAACATAGGAAGGACTTCAGTACAGCATCAATGTATTGCATTCAAGTTGTACTCCAAAGTATACCATTCTTTTTTTGCAACAAAATATCTGACATAGATTGGCCAAGGAGTGTTTTTGTGGTTTTAACAGACCTTATCTGCTACCTATTGGTCAGTTAAAGCATTACATGGGAAGTGATCCCAACATGAATGTACTCCCCTCAGGTGTGAACCTTCTCCTGCATTGTGGGAAATGGAGTTCTCATCCTATGTTTTGCCCAAAGCAAAGGCGAAGGTGACACTGATACCGATACAACCCAAAGTCAGGCCAGAGCTTATAATGTTACGAGAAAGAAATACCCGTTGCAGCTTCGCTTGCAACCAAAGGATCCAATATGGACTGTAGTGACGAATGACATTCTGTCCATCTGCAACCAGGGCTCCCTCTGGCTTGACCTCTCTGCTGCCTTCAATACCGTTGATCATTCTATCCTCCTCCACCGCCACTCCTCAGGCTCTGACAGCATCACCATTCATGGATGCACACTCCACCTGACTAAGTCAGTCCGGAACCTTGGCATCTTATTTGACCCTCAACTATCCTTTCTACCCCACATCCGTGCCATGACCCTCTCTGCCTTCCCCCACCTCCTCAACATCGCCCGGCTCTGGAGTTAGGGAGGTGCTAGGGCGTGAAGGGATTTATAAGTGAAGGTGAGAACCTTGAAATCGGTCTTTTGGAGGATGGGGAAACAGTAGAGTCCAGGAAGGACTGAGGGCATGGGCAAGCGGAGTTTGATACTTTCTTATGCCTGTCAAAAGGTTATATGTTTTTCAGATGTTGTGAAACTTCCTCAGATAAAACCAGTTCATCTGCTTTTTGTGATATAGTTCAGCCAGGTGTGTGGCAGCTTGGCATTTGGGAGCACTCTTGCCATTAAGTCAGAAGATTGTGGTTTCAAGCCACAACACGGGACGGACTCACAAAGTCCAGCGCAATGTTGGGGGGGGGGGGGGGAAGGGAAAGGAGGGTTGCGTTTTCAAAGGAATGTCACAATTAAAATCACCATCCGGAATCACGCAGAGAGGAAGGACGCTGGGCCAATCGTATCTCAGCCGGTCAAAACTCCCGCACTAGCACAACGCACAGAGGGAAGAGTTTCAATTCCTGAGTTCAATTCCAGGCAGAGGGCGAAACCTTGGGCAAGTTTCCTTACTCCAGACAGAGCCTAATAATAATCCCTTCAAAAACCAAAAACAATAATTAATTGGTCATTTTCAATCTACGACTGTTTGTGGGACATTGCTGTGCGCAATTGGCTGCCGCGTTCGCCCACAAATATACAGTCAATTCACTTTGCAGTGTGTTCTGTGAAGCGCTTTGGGACGTCCTCCCGACGTGAAAAGCGCTATATCAAATGCAAGGATTATTATTATTATTATTATCTACCGTGACCGAGCACTGGTGTGGAGGCGGTGGGAACCTAAGAGGCGCGAGCGCGGGCGATTGGGCCGATTGGGCCGTTTCGAGAGTCCTGACAGCAGGTCGTCGACCTGGAAACGTTAACCCGCGACAGCTGCCGCCTGACCTGCCGGGTGGTCCCAACAACGACGACGACAACAACGACAATGTCGACGACGACAACAACAATTGGATTTATGTAGCGCCCTCCGCGCCGGACGGCGTCGCGGAGCGTTCGCAGCCATTATGTGGCTTTGTTTTCAGATTTGCAGCATGGACAGCGCTGTGCCTTTGGGGCCTGTGCTCAACACTCCCCACTCTGCCAATGACCTTGACAGGACATCAACAGTGCGAAGGGGGGGTGGGGTGGGGTGGGCGAGATATTAATCCTACCACTAGGAGTCCTCCGAGAGATCAGGCGGCGCAGCCGGACCCGGCGTGGGGGGCTACTCTTGCCGCCCGCCGCGCTGGCGGCGGTTCGGATTGGACGAGCGGCGGGAGGGACAAGGCCCGGGGACCAATCACACGGCGCGAGGGGGAGGCGGGCGCTGCACGGGGGGGGGAGTCGGCCAATCAGGAGCCAGGACGTGGCGGAGGCGGGGCCAGGGGAAGGTGAGGGCGAGTTACGAGGGCGGCGCCGCCATTGAGGGGGCGGGAAAAAAAAAAGAAGCTGAGAGCAGACACCGGCCACCGAGACACCCCCCGCCCGCCGCCCGCCCGCGCCCGGTAAGGCAGCAGCACCGACTCCCCCGGGGCGGCCCGGAGCCGGAGCCGGAGCAGCGCCGCTTGTCCGCTGGACTTGGACCCGCGGGGCCTCCGGTGTCGGCCTCGGCCCCGGAGTTTGACCTCCGCCGCGCGGGGAGAGAGGGGGGTACACAGGGGGAGAGTGCTTGAGCCCCTGAACTGAGAGCCCGACCCCCCCCCCTTCACCCCTCCTCCCTCTCCCGCCTCCCCCCCCACCCACCGCCGGGTGCACACCGCTACCCGGGGCCGCTGGGCCCGGGAGGGGCCCTGTGACCTCCAAACCCTCCGCCCTCTCTCTCTCTCTCTCTCTCTCCCTCCGTCCAAATGCGATCGATTCCAAAGCGAATGGGGACCACCGATTGTTATAATTATCGTCGTCGTCGTCGTCGTTTTTTTTTCTCCTCTTCTTCAAAAGTTCCCTCTGTTTTTGTTTTGATTTCTCGCGAAAAAAAATAACTCCCCGAGAAGAACCCCCCGACGCCGCCACCGCCTCTGTGTCCTTTTCTGCTCAGATCTCAGTTGGATCTCCTGTGGGGTTTTTCCCCCAATGCAACGTTTGTAGATTTGAAGGCGATTTGTGCTTAATTCGTGTCGTTGAATTTCTCCTAATGATACTAATAATAATAATAATGATAATAATGATGATAATAATGATAATAATGATGATAATAATAATGATAATAATGATGATTATAATGATAATAATAATGATAATAATAATGATGATTATAATGATAATGATGATAATAATGATGATGACGGTGGTGATAATAATCCCCGGTTCTGATCCAACGCCTCACGTGGTCGAGCGAGGCGTCTGGAAGCCCCTTCGCGGTGAATCCACTCGCCCGCCCCGTGAGCGAAGCGCGACGGCCGCATTAGTTGTGCCGCAGCGGCCGCCGCCCGCAGCCGGCCGCGGATTGAGGGATTAAGGTTACGGTCCGCGCCTTTGATCTGCCCCTTTGGAGTTGGTGCTCGCGGTCACAGAAAAACCGGGGCGGGCGGGCGGGTGCGCGCGCCCGGGGCACCTCGTGGCTCTTCTGCCTGCCTTAAGCGCAGCGCACAGCTGGACTGAAGTCCGTCTCTTGTGTGAGACCGACTCTCTTTTAAAGTCAGCTTCCAGGTGGCAAGGTCGTTTGAAACGGGCAGTAATGGTGGGCGGGTGGACTGATTAAGATCATAGCCGGGCTCGTTACCCGGCTGGTTTATGTCTGCAGTGAGGCTGACACCCTCCACTGCGGTTTCTGTGATGTTTGCTTGGGTTTAAAACTGGCGACAAGTGAACAGCAGCTCAGGGTTTCTCTCTGAGGGTGAGAACACGCAGATCCCCGAGCTTTGTTTGGTGAGGCACCGCATCCCTGAGACTGCCTAACCTGTCTTTCCACTCTTGTTTTGAAGTGGATTTGATTTTTGTGGTTTTATTCGCTCGCGTTGACAGCAGGGGCGATGTGGCAGCGCATGGCTGTGTTCTAATGCTGGTAACCAAGTGCTGTATCAGATGGGGAATTACCGAGATTGAACCTGGAAATTCAAAAACTCAAGAGCAGTAGAATGGTTATTATTGTCCACACCCGGTTCTTTGTTGCTATTTCGTTAAATAACTATAAGAAAATACGAATTTGCTAAACGAAAGACCAAGGTCCGTCTAGTTTGCCGTCCACCACCCTGGCAGTCATTTGACATGTCCAAACCATATACTATGTCCCATAACTTCCCATGTTTCAGTCTAGGATTTATGTTCTAATCGTGGTTGTTAGTGCAAAACTCTTAATAAAGCTCGTAACCAAGTCAGGTTGTGGTGTGCAGGTTAGGTACGGTTATAAATCCTGTTTGTTTCTCTGGATTTCTGGTTTGACGTACAATACACTAATGTAAACTGTAATTTTTTTTCCTACAGCTGAAAATATGATGTATGCCTGTGCTAAATTTGTCTCCTGCCCTGCTGTGGTGAGTGTTTCTTGAGATAGATGGGCTATCACCTGTTTGTTTTATTTGCACAAGTTAATTTTTTTTTAAAAAATGTATGTGTGGCTCGTTACGGTTGCGCCCCCAAAATTCTATTTGCTGCTCCTTCCCAAAGATTTGACTGATTTGATGGATCGCGAGATCAGGAGCAGGAACCTGTTCTTTGTCCTTCCCAATTCCTTTGGAAGCATTGATGCTGAATCTCGACCTTGATTGAGCACCTTATTCAGGACGGCCTGAAAATGTGGCCTGTGACCTTGTGCCCTGCGTGGCATGGTGCTGCCCCAATAATCACTGGAACATAAGGCAGAGAAGGAGCCCTTGGCTTCAGGCCGTGTACGGCTCAAATGAGCAGTTTATTCGAATAGACGCTACCCATTCTCCCTCGTTCCTGCTTCGGTCTGTAACACAGGTTAGAAGCAGCTTGATGGCAAATGTCTCTTTAAGCAAACGTCTACAAGGCCACCGATGTCCTGTGATCACTGACATTGATGTGATGGCCCAGGTTAAACTAACGGCACCATTTCCCGTGCAGGTCCGCAGCACTTCAAGGACATTCCTCCGGCCAGTGTCAGCTTCCGTCTTCGGCAGACCAGAGGTCAGAGGTGAACAAGTAAGGACTTTAATGTTTAAGTTACTCTCTCTTGTATTGCTATTCCTGTTAGACAGCAGATTTGAATACTCTGCTTAAACACCTTGATGCCCTCTAGTCACTGACGAGTGGGAAGAATTTCTCCTTATTGACTCTTTATTAAAGTCCAACAACATTTAAAGACTTCTGTTTCATAGAATAGGTATCCTTCACATAAAATGGCTGCTGCACTTCTGGCAGTAATTACCATAAAGTGCTTTATGTTTCAAGGTTGTAAGTGGAATGAAAATAGAATGTAATGTGCGGTTGATGTACCACAACAACTTGCATTTATATAGAGCCCTTTACTCGAGTAGCATCTCAAACAGCTGCATGGCTTGATGCAGAGCTGGGAGGGAAGGTGACATGGTTGAAGAGGAAGGTCTTCAGGTCTGATTTGAAGACCAAGTTGAATGCACGCCAGATCTTTAATAAATTGTTTCTCAGCCGGGCATTCAAGGGGTGGGTTTCCTATTCAAGGGGTGGGTTACCAGCCAGCCTCTTACACAAGGGGAATGCCCTGAACCTCTAGAACATTCTTCCTCTAGCCCTCCATCTTGCCCTTTCCTTCCCCATCTTCAGGTCGTGTCTGTTCTTGCTCTTCGACCGTGCCACTGTTCCGTACCCCCAGCTCGGCGTTGTGGTTTGCCACTGTCAAGCGCTCTGGGCGCTACCTTGCGTGTGGGGCACTGTGTAAAGGCAAATTGTTGTTGAGCGAGACCTAAGAAGAAAAACTTCATCTCCGAACTTCGTAATTTGAGCTCTGAGCTTTACCTCTTTTTTCCCTTTAGGCTCAGCCTGTTCCCTCACACAGTGGGAATGCCCTGCTGCAGGTAGCGCGGCGAGATTTCCAGACCAGCGCCATCGCGCGGGACATCGACACAGCAGCCAAGTTCATTGGAGCCGGAGCCGCTACAGTCGGGGTCGCCGGCTCTGGGGCCGGGATCGGGACCGTGTTCGGCAGCTTGATCATCGGCTATGCCAGGTACGTCTTTCCCCGGGGAATGGGAACTCTTGAGTGCCTTTGTAGGGTTTTATTCCACTGCCAAGCCGTCTTAATCCACTCTAGGTGTAGTCCGAAGCCTGCAGCTGGCTGTGTGCGAGAGCAATGGAACTTGTTCCCAACTCCATTCATGGAAGGAGGCCATTCGGCCCATTGACTCTGCATCGGCTCTCAGGGCTAATTGATCATTCAACCCCAATGCCTCAGTCTATCCCGACACTCTTCTGAGCCTTTACTTTTCACATACATGTCTATTTCCTGACTTGGCAGGACATTTCACACCCAATAACTGTTTTTTTAAAAAAAATTCTTCTGAGCTGTATCCAAGTTAAAGGCAGTGGTGGGTTGGGGTTAGGGTTAACCTTTGATGCATTGGGGTTTTTAAGGTCATGAAGTAAGCTGCTGGATTGCATCAACATAACTGAGTTGGACATTGGAGCTCTCCTGCTGTAGGCAACTGATGCCTGAATCTGCACAATCTGAAAGGAGTCCCAGTCGGGCTGGCAGTTCAGGGCGGGGGGAGCAAACTACAGTAGTTGATTAAAATCAATTTTAATCTGATTCCCTTTTTTTGATTGCAGAAATCCGTCCCTGAAACAACAGCTTTTCTCCTACGCCATCCTGGGCTTCGCCCTGTCTGAGGCGATGGGTCTGTTCTGTCTGATGGTCGCCTTCCTGATCCTGTTCGCTATGTAATGTCGATTCTCTCAGCAGAAGCGAGAAGATGGCCGTGGAAGAATAAATTATTGTGGTGCGCAGGATTGGCACTGGGAAGGAAAGCCACTGTCGACCCCAAGTGTCCCCAGTGATGTAATCTTTTTCCAATTCCAATTGTGTAAGAACTTTTGATTTAGCCTCTAACAGGATCTCTGAATAAAACGGTTGAATGTCTCTTAGCTGTGTTTCTTGGAATGCTTCCCTCTGAAATATTTGGAGCCGAGACCTGCAAGATATTTTCTCCCTTCAGAGTGTGCACTATGCAAACTCCTTGCTTGTCAGCCTCCCCAACTCCTCCCTCCACAGGCTGCAGATCATCCAGAACCCTGCAGCCCCTGTCCTCTCCTATACCAGGCTCCGTGACCCTATCACCCCCACGCTCGCCCAACTCTACTGGCTTCCCATCACACAGGGGATACAGTTTAAGATCCTGGTCCTCACCTTCAAAGCCCTCCATGGTCTTGATCCCCTGCGACTTGCTAACCCCGTACCATCCTGCCCGCTCCCTCCGCTCAGTGGGCTCCAGCCTGCTTCATGTCCCCCACTTCACCTGCCCCACCATTGGCCGACAGGCCTTCTGCCACTCTGCGCCCACCCTCTGGAACTCCATCCCGCAGTCCCTCCTCCTCACCCTCTCCCTTGTCTTCGAAACCCATCTCAAGACCCTCCTGTTTGACCGTGCTTTTGATCACCATGTTTCCCCCACTTGTCCTCCACCCTCCCCGATCCCGACCCCCAGCTTGGGTTCGAAACACCGACTGTCCAGCGTCTTGGGACGTCCTCCCGACATGAAAGGCGCTTTGCGAATGTAATTTTGTTGTGGCGGTGGTTGTAGATTGACACAGACGGACACACAGGGAGACATTTTGTTTGTTGTTGTTGTTTCTCTCTGCGGTGCCCCCACCAACAGATGTGGATGGATCAGCCACGATACCGACTGCCAGAGCCATTGTACACTGTCATCGCATTGCGATCTCTCAAAGACCTTCGCGCGATGTCTGGTCACTCGCGGTGACCGTGTGGGGTGAGTGCAGAAGCCAATTCACACCGTCATTGCAAATGGCCCTCAACAGCCGAGTGACCTTCGGCAAATGTGAGGCTTCCAATACACCGCACGGCCGGAGGGCGGCGCTGGTGATGGTCAGCGGGTGCAATACCGGCGGCGGCCGGAGGGCGGCGCTGAGGCTGCAATGCTGGCGGTGACCGGCGGGTGGCGCCGCCGCGGGCGCTCGCGGCGCGGAGCATCGGGACGACGGGAGGGCCGCGGTGCCGCGGCTGCGCAGTGCGGGGCGACAGGGAATATGGCGGAGGCTCCGGTGGAGGAGAGCGCGAACCCACTGCTGTTACCGGGCAGCACCGGCTCCGTCACCACCGGCCTCCTCAGCCAACTCCACGCCACGTCCTGGGACCCGACCTTCAGCACCGACTGGGACAGCGAGAAGCCCTCCCAACCCTGTCTGCTCCGCATCAAGAGGTGACAACACCCCCCACCCCCCCCGGGGAGGGGAGGGGGGTCACAGGTCACAGGCCTCCCCCCCGGGGTGGGGAGGGGGGGTCACAGGTCACAGGCCTCCCCCCCGGGGAGGGGAGGGGGGTCACAGGCCTCCCCCTGGGGTGGGGAGGGGGGGTCACAGGTCTCCCCCGGGGAGGGGAGGGGGGGTCACAGGTCACAGGCCTCCCCCCTGGGGTGGGGAGTTGGGGTCACAGGTGTCCCCCTGGGGTGGGGAGTGGGGGTCACAGGTCTCCCCCTGGGGTGGGGAGTTGGGGTCACAGGTCTCCCCCTGGGGTGGGGAGTTGGGGTCACAGGTCTCCCCCTGGGGTGGGGAGTGGGGGTCACAGGTCTCCCCCTGGGGTGGGGAGGAGGGGTCACAGGTCTCCCCTGGGGTGGGGAGGAGGGGTCACAGGTCTCCCCCTGGGGTGGGGAGGAGGGGTCACAGGTCTCCCCCTGGGGTGGGGAGGAGGGGTCACAGGTCTCCCCCTGGGGTGGGGAGGAGGGGTCACAGGTCTCCCCCTGGGGTGGGGAGGAGGGGTCACGGGTTTCTCTGGTACCTGGATTTCTGGGCTCATTTCAAAAGATCTTGAGATTGTGTGTTTTGTGGAAAATATTTAATTTTTCAGGTGTTTTTGATGTTTGGGAAAAGGCAGATTTTATTTGTGTTTGAAGGGATGAGTCGCTGTTGACGTGATTATGTCAGTGTGGGGCGGGTGGGGGGGTTCGGGGCGTCGGTGCGACAGTTCAGTAATCCTAGTTGGGGTGCAAGGTTATGGTGAACTGAGGAGTGTCCCTTCACCACGAACATGTAGCGTTTACCTCAGTTGGACTCATTTTGTTCAGCGATAGATAGAGATCTACTTTATATACATCTTTGCAGTATACTCAGAGCCCTGTAGCTCAGGGGTGAGAGCACTCACCTGGCAAGCGAGACAACCTGGTTTCAGTGCCCGGGCAGTGCGTAACGCTGGACAAGTTTCCTTACTCCACTCGCCCGATTACCTAACGGTAAGTAGGGACCTGATTGTTAGTCAAGTGGCGGATCGCTTTTCCAGGGGTAATAGTCCCTCCTAAAAATAATAATAATAATAATTTGGACACTCAATCCACGACTGGGAGCTGAGGAGGTCGGATTCAGCAACGATGAGTTAGTGATCCTTGCATTTGATATTAAGCTCTCGAAAACGTGATAAGGCACAATATCAAATGCAAGGATTATTATTTACCTTATCATACTGTCGAGACGCTTCGCAGGATTTTACCGTAAAGGATAGAGATTTAGGCAAACAGATCCATTGCTTTGTTACGGCAGATCTTTTAATCCCATTTCCTCGCCTTTTGACTACAATAACAGCCATGACAGCTTGGAAGGAATTACCTGTGAAATGCTTTGAGATGATTTGAAGTGAAAAGGCCTATAAAAATGCAAGCTCCATTCTCTACATCAGTTAATACACCGTTAATACAGCGTGTTTCCCCAGGACTGGGCTTGAGGCTTAACCTGGACTATGAGCTCAAGCCTCGTGTTAGGATTTTAGGTCATAGTTCAGGGCTTTTTAGATGAGACAGTAAAAGGAGGTCCCCGCTCTTCAGTTGGCTATTAACAATCGATTGAGCTTTTCGGAAAAGAGAAAGGAGCTTCTCCATGTCCTGCTCTCTGCCCCCACCCTTTGGAACTCCAACCCATAGTCCCTTTGCCTTGCTCCCACACTTGCCTCCTTCAAGACCTGCCTCAAAACCCTCCTTTTTGACCAAGCCTTCGACCCCCCCCCCCACCTCCTACCCCAAACTTCCCTGCATTCCAGCCCTCCTGTTCCATTCCCCTGCTCCGGTCCAAATCCCTGACTGTTCAGCGCCTTGAGATTCATCCCGACGTGAAAGTCGCTGTATAAATGTCATTTTTTATTGTTGTCCTGGCTAACAGCCTCTCGTGACTCTAAAGAGTGTGTTAACAGGCTGTTGTAGTTGCCATTAAATACAGTCACTAGACGTGATAGCAATGGAATGTATTACCTGAAAGAGTGGTGGAAGCCGATTCGATAACAACTTTCAAGAGAGAAATAGATAGATATTTGGGAGGACAAATTTGTAGGGCTATGGGGTGGGGGGGAAGTGGGATTAATTTGGACAACTCTTTCAAAGAGCCGGTATGGGCACGATGGGCCGAATGGCCTCCTTCTGTGCTCAATGATTCTAAGTGCTTTGAAACATTGGGCAGAGCATTTCACGTTGTCACATTCCTTTGACTGAAAAAGCTTTTACTTCCCAGCATCTCACCAGCATCTGTCGATGAGTTGGTTACTTACCGAGTTACTACCTAGGAAATCGCATCATTACAATTCGGGATGTTTCCGAGAGTTTGGAGTTTGGTAGTGTAGAGCGTGCGATGTGAGGATGGAAGCGGGAGAGGGAACCGGCAGATCGTTCCTCGGAGGCTGCCACACTCACTGGATGGGGGTTTGGAAACTGTCTGTGTGTGAACACCGGGTGAGGACAGGCTCAGCCTTGGTGGCTGATAATCTTATCAAAATTCACGGCCTGGGCTCATATGGAGTCCTGTAGCGTAGTGGTTAGAGCACTCGCCTCGCAAGCGAGAGGACCCGGGTTCGATTCCAGGGCGGTGTGAAACCTTAGGCAAGTTTCCTTACTCCACGGTTTGTTAGTCAATCAGCAGATCGCTTTCTGCGAGTAATAATCCCTTCAAAAATAAAATTGGGAATCTATCGATGACTGTTTGTGGGACGCTGCCGTGCGCAATTGGCTGCTGTGGTTTTCCAACAAAAATACACGGTCAATTCACTTTACAGTGTATTCTGTGAAGTGCTTTGAGACGTCTTACAATGTGCTCAGACGCTATATCAAATGAAAAGATTATTATAATTATTATATGAGGGAAGAATGACCAATAAGGTGACCGGTGGTCCTATTACTCTGGGTTAAACAAGCGCTTTGAGACGTCTAGAAGACGTGAAAAGCGCTATGTCAAATGCAAGGATTATTATTATATTATCATTAAACAAGCACCTTCGGAAGTAAAAAAAAAAGTGGAGCGAAATCAACAAGAAAGTATCCTGATATCCTGAATCAATCACTGAAGTTCTGGTGTAAGAATGTTTTAAACTCAGACGAGAATTTCTCCGATGATCTCATGGCTGGCTCCCTGCCACGTTTGGTGATTATCTCCTCAACGATGACTTTGCCCCTCGATGCACAGTTGCTAAAGTGAGCTGTAAGTTGCAGGTCCTGGAAGCCGGGTTTCACTGTGACTTGATATCAGATGCAAGAATGATTTTTTTTTTTTATTTGCTGACAAGGGCTTCCTTAACTGATCTTAAGCGAGAGGACCTGGGTTTGATTCCCAGGCAGGGCGAAGCGTTAGGCAAGTTTCAACACGCCTCTATTTACCTGGCAGTAAGGAGGAACCCAGTTGTTAGTCGATTGGCGGATCGCTTTTCCGGTTGTGGTAATCCCTTCAAAAATAATAATAATTTGGTCACTCAATCCACGACTGTTTGTGGGGACGCTGCTGTGCACAATTCGCTGCCGCATTTCGCCCACAAACTATACAGTCAGTTCACTTTACAGTGTATTCTGTGAAGTGGTATGAGACGTTTCGATGACGTGATATGGCGCTATATCAAATGCAAGGATTATTATTATTAATAATCCATCGGAAAACTTCTGATGACTAAACTAAAGGCAGCTTTCTGTGCCTTTTCCCAGAGCCAGCCACAATCCCTCTGTTAAAACGTACCCATTGCATCTTATACCAGTCCCAAGCAAGTCAGGTGTACGCTGGCCTCTGCTTCTTCCTGAATTATTGTAATAATCCTGGCATTTGATCACGTCATTGGAAAGTCTCAAAATGTTTCACAGAATTTCCAGTGCAGTTCAGTGACTGTGTGTTTTGTAGGCAAACACAGCAGTCAGTTTGTACTGGGCAGTGCCTCACAAACAGCCATAGAGTGAGTGAGCGGTTTTATCTGAGCGGTTCTTGTCCAGGACGCCGGGAGAGAGAGAAAGTCCCTTCTCTTTTTGAACAGAACCACAGGCCTCTTGAACGCCCTGACCAGAGAGTACAGTATCTCCAACGATGCAGGGCTCCCCAGCGCTGCACTTGAGCGTCAGCCTGAACTGTGTGAGTTCAAAGGCTTACGTGGGGATAAATCAACTTGGTGAATCGGAGGCGAGAGTGCTACCAAGTGAGCCAGGCTGACGCACCAGCAAGAGGCGCTCATACAAATATACAGTCAATTCAATTTACAGTCCATCCTGCGAAGCGCTTTGTGACGTCTCAAAGACACGATAAGCCGCGATATCAGATGCAAGGTTTATTATTTTATTGTTATGGCTCCTTTGGCATTGAGCAACAAGGTTAAGAACACGATATGAATCATAATAATCATTAAAAAAAAATTGCATTTGATAATAGCGTCTTCCATGTCAGCAGAACGTCTTCTCAGGAGTTTACTGCAAGGTGTAGTGACTGTGTATTTTGCAGGCGATCGTTGTACCCTTTTTTTTTTCCCCCCCGCCTTTTGGAGCCGGGACTTGGTGGTTTGAGGGAAACGTTTTTGAGGATGTGCGAGGCTGGGCGGCTTGTGTCTGGAGCTAAACGTTCCTCTTTCCTGCTGCCTCGGCTGAACTGTTGCAACTCGCAAGGAGCTGAATGCATCGCTTCGAGCCAAAGGAATGCTGAACAGTCAGCCGCGACCTTGGCATTTGATTAGAAAATTACGGAATGGCAGGCCGGCCAAAGGGGCAATTAATTTCTCGTCCGCAACCCAAAAATCATTGCGCGTCGCTGAGGCAATTATTCTGCGTAACAATGGTGCACTGCGCCAGGGAGTGGGTGAGGCGTTCAATTTATTTCAATTAAACACGCAGCCTAACTAAACCCGCAGCCTACGGGTCAGGAGATCGTAGTTTCCATTCCCTTTTCTGTTAAGCTGGTCTCAACCTTGCAAGAGAGGTGGTTTTAATGATAATCATAATCCTTGTATTTTGATCAGTCGGATGGCTCAAAGCGCTTCACAAGATTTTACTGTCAAGTGGAGTGGTTGGGTACTCGTAGGCAAATGTTGGGGCTACAATTGGCCTCTGTTATGGGAGGAAGCGTAGGGAAAAAGCAGCTCAAATTTTTTTTTTCCCCTGTTCGTTATCTAGAGCTCCTTCCTGCCCCTCGATTTGTGGACAGAATAGGCTGTGGTCAAATAGCCGACTGACACTGAGCTCAGGCGCTGGGGAAGAGAAAGACGTCAGGTCCCTGAGTGTGTGGGAGTGAGGTTTAAAGTCAGCCGGGTTCTTGCACTGTAACAACCCCTACTGTAAAGTGTGTGTGCAGATAGGGTCAGGATTGGGCTTTCCTGGTGCTGTACCTCCAGAGCCCTAAAGCTCAGTGGTTAGAGCTCTGGCCTCGCAAACGAGAGGACCTGAGTTCGAAACCCGGGCAGAGTGAAATGTTAGGCAAGTTGGGACGTCCTCCCAACGTGAAAGGCACTATTACAAATGTAATCTGGTTGGTGTTGGTGGGCAAGTTTTCTTACTCAACACACCTCTGTTTACCGAGCAGTCAGTAGGAAACCTGGTTCGTCGTCGATTGGCGGAGCTTGTCCAGGGATAATGATCCCTTCAAAAAAAATGTGGTCACTCAATCCGTGGCTGTTTGTGTGGGACACTGCTGTGCGCAATTGACTGCCACGTTTCGGCCACAAAATATACAGTCTTTACAGTATATTCTGTGAAACGCTTTGAGGTAAAAGCGCTTCACAGAATATATGATATTTAAGACGTGATAAAGCGCTATAGCAAATATAAGGCTGATTATTATTATATGATGAACAGTGTCCTGGGTAAGGAAGGGCTGAGCCTGGGGAACCAGCCCCCAGTAGGAGTTTCTGTTCTCAGGAAGGACGTGGGAGGGAGACCGGCCGAGCGAGCAACGCTTGGCATTGATTGAACGTTGCACTCGTCATTTGTTTGGAATCTGTTGGGAGGTAAAACCGTGCACATTGAAGTTGATATTTACAGCTCTGTTTGCTTTCACTGCAGGGATATCATGTCCATTTATAAAGAGCCTCCTCCGGGCATGTTTGTGGTACCAGATCCTCATGACATGACTAAGGTGAGCACTTGGGATGTCTTCCTGGCGTGAAAGATGCTGTACACAAATGTTCTGTTTAGTGCTTTAGCAAACGCAGTTGCGCACACTGCTGCTCTTAATATTGTATGTACTGTTACAAGCAATATTGCACAGACTTGTGCAAATGCTATTGGATGCACACATCTAATTCGTGCGCTCATGAGTACACACACTATTGCACTGATGACACTATTCCATTCACTATTTCACTTGCCTTTGCATTAGGGCTCAAGGGAAATCTGAGTGACAATTGTCACTGTATATGGGCTGCACAGAGTCCATTGATCAGATATAAAGCAGCAGCCAGGCTACAGTCACACAGCGAGTTTCTTACTGTGTTGGTAGCTAGTTGTGGTCTGGGCCAATAGAAAAGTGCGGCTGCAATTTTTCCGCGGAATCCACGGGAACCACACCCTCCCTTAATAACCACACTCTTCCTTAAAAACTACATCCCACCTTTAAAAACTGCAGCCGCCACTAAAAACCTGTAAACAATTATGTTTCCTCTGTGCGCTGTGACTGCCTGTTTGCTCCACGCTACTGTTGGCGGGGCTGTGGTCCTACTGTTATTATAAATCCATAATATCTAATCCTTTTGTCCCTAGATCCATGCATTGATCACGGGACCATTCGACACGCCGTACGAAGGAGGCTTTTTCCTCTTTCTCTTCCGATGTCCTCCCGACTATCCTATCCATCCGCCGAGAGTCAAGCTGATGACGACCGGGAGTAACACTGTCCGCTTTAATCCCAATTTCTACCGGAACGGCAAAGTGTGTCTCAGCATTCTCGGGTAGGCAGTGAAGCCAATGGTGCCGAAATGTTGGGCAAAAAAATATTAAAAACTAATAATAATTTGTTAACACAATCCACGACTGTTTGTGGGACACTACTGTGGACGATTGGCTGCCTGATCTTATTTAGTGCAATATTTTGCACTATTATACATTTTATTATTTGTTAATATTGTCTGTCGTTGCATCCAGGTCTGCTTCCCGTTGTTAGGGTAAAATCTGAGCACTCCCTGTACACTGCCCCTCTGAGGATCAGCCTGGAAGCACCTCTCTGATGACAAATACACAGAGTGAGCAGTAAGATATGGAGTTAGTTTATACAGAGGTGGTTGGAATAAGGAATTCTCTGCCACAAACCTCGAAGCGGGGTTCATAAATAGTTTCAAAAGGAAATCGATTAGACGGTGGTAAGGGACACAGCCCGGGCAGCGAGCAGGAAAGTGGGATTGGATCATGCGGAGAAAAGTATGAGCATAGAATTGATGGGTCGAATCGGCTGTTTCTGTGCTGAAATTGTCTGCTACTCTAAGTCGCAGAACTCTCTGCTTCTATCCATCCGCCTTGCACCTATCCATCTCTTATCTACCTTCAAATCCCACCTTGAAAGATACCTCTTCGACTGCGCCAATGGTCACCTCCCTCCCCTTCCTCCTGGCTCCTGTGAAGGGCTCAGACAAGCCACGTGAAGGTTGTTGTATAAATGTAAGATGACGTTGTTCTGCTTGTAATTCTAAGGTTCAAAATGTCTGTAATTCACAAAGGCCTCAGGAAGGTGCTGTCTACAATGGAATGTGTATGAGTAAAAAAAATTCTCCTCATCTTTTGCCAGTTATCTTAAAGGCTGGGCTGTGTATCTTAAATCTGTATCCTCTGGTTACTGACCCGGAAACAGTTTCTCCCTCTCGAATCTTATCACTGACCCCGATGGAAAAGGGCCATTTTTCTAGTGCCGGAGCACTGAGCTTCCTGTTTTGTGTAGCTCTGCCAATGTTAAGAATTCCGACACGCTACCCTGCCTGAAGGGCACTATATAAATGCAAATTATTGTTGTTGTCAGAAGACCAGCACTAACACAGGGCTTTCCAACAGAGTCACACTGGGTTGCCGTACTCCATGAGGCACAGAACAGCAGGGAGAGAAATGTTTTATACGCAACAGGTTTAGGGTGAACTTCCTCATGTCAGGATGCATTTGAGGTGAGATTGGGTGCTGTTACTGAGAGGCGTGTATAAGGGTGTCTGTTTTGTTGTGTTTCAGTACATGGACGGGGCCTGCCTGGAGCCCGGCTCAGAGCATCTCCTCGGTCCTCATATCCATTCAGTCTCTCATGACCGAGAACCCATATCACAACGAGCCAGGATTCGAGCAGGTGAGCGACTTGCATTAAACAAAAGCTGCGCAAGGTCGACTGTGTCTGTAATCTGATTTCCAGGGATTTTGGTAAATGTAAGAATAATAATCAGAAGGTACAACACTGCAGATGCTGAAAATCTGAAATAGAAACAGAAGTCGCTGGGAACACTCAGCAGATCAGGCAGCGCCTATGGAGAGAAGAAAGTGAGTTAAGATTTCAGGTTGATAACCTCAAAGGCCAATAAATTCCCCAAATAAAATTGCTCATTCACATCATGGCTGTTTGTGGGTCGTTGGCTCTGTGCAAATTGGCTGCTGCGTTCACCTGCAAAATACAGTCACTGCACTTTATAGCAAATTCTGTGCAAAGTCCTTTGAGACATCCTGACGGTGAAAGGTGCTATGTCAAACCTGCCTGTTAATCGATTGGCGGAGAGAGAAAAGAGGGTTAATGTTTCAGGTTGATGATGTTTGGGACATTTTCTGTACGTGATTGTGAGATGTTTTAATTTTTGCTTCTGTAGGAACGACATCCCGGGGACAGTAAAAACTACAATGAGTGCATAAGGCATGAAACCCTCAGAGTTGCCGTCTGTGACATGTTAGACGGCAAATGCCCCTGTCCAGATGCACTGAGGTGAGTTGGACACGGCTAGTGGGTTAGAATCAGTGGGTCATGTTCCATTAACTGGATGTAATATGTATTACTTTTCCGGAGGTAATAATCCCATCAAAAATATATATATATTTGGTCACTCAATCTGTGACGTTTGTGAGACGCTGCTGTGCGCAATTGGCTACCGAGTTTCGCCCACAAAATATGCAGTCAATTCACTTTACAGTATCTTCTGTGAAGCGCTTTCAGACATCTCAATAACGTGATTAGGCGCTAAATCAAAGGCAAGGATTATTATTATTTTATTATTATATAGAGAGAGCTGCTCTGACTTATCAATGATATTGCCAGCCTGGTTCAGTCAACGGCATTCTCACCTCTAAGAAAGGTGTAGGTTCAAGCTTCACGTTGGGACTTTGAGCTCAGTCTAGGCTCCAGTGGAGTGCTGGGGGAGCACAGCATTGTTGGAAGATGCTATCCTTCAATTAAGATACTAAACTGAGGTCCAGTCTGCTTGCTCAGTAAGATGTTAAAGATCCTATCTCACTGTTCGAAAAGAGAAAGTAGTTTCTCCCGGTGTCCTGAGCAGCAGTTCCCCAGATATAAATCGGTCACTCACTTCCTGGCTGTTTCAGGGCTTTGCATAAATTGGCTGCCACATTTATCTGTAAATATAGTCACTATAATAATCCTTTAATTTGATATAGCGCCTTATCACATCTTCAAGACGTCTCAAAACGCTTCACAGAATATACTACTGAAGTGCTTTGAGACATTTTGACGCAATCAGGTGCGATAGCAGAATCAAGGATTATTCTATTGGGACATTGAAAGCTCGATTACAGAGGCTTCAATGTAAACCCATCCTGGTGAGGGGGTTGGGATGGGCTATGGTGGGGACGGGGAGATAGTGGTGGTTGCAATTAAACTCCTGAATATTTGTTGTGATATTTTCTGTTGGGACAGAAGTGTGATGGAAAAATCTTTCATCGAGTTCTACGATTTTTACGAACTGTCCTGCAAGGACAGGCTGCACCTGCAAGGCCAGACAATGCAGGTACGACTGTGCTCTCGTTCCACTTGTACCATTTCTGCAGCTGAACATGGACAAGATAGAAGCCATCCTCCTTGGCTCCCATCTTCTCACCTGCGGTTCTCCTTCATTTTTCCTGTCTATCTCTCGGTCTCACCAATCTGTACGCAACCTTGGTGTCCGGATCGATCCCCAATTATTCTTCCTACCCCACCTCCAGTCCCTGGCCTGCCCTGTCTTCCTCCACCTCTGCTACATCACTTGCCTTCACCCCGATGTTACTTAAAACTCACTGAAGCCCCCATTCCTGCTTTCTTCACTTCTCTCCTCGACTTTTCTAATGCTTTTCTCGCTGGTCTCCCCAGCTCCACTACAAATAAGGTTCATTGCTTAAATTCTGCACCCCAATCACCCAGCTTTTGCCAGGCTCCACAGGCTCTAATCTCGAATGGATCGATTTCAAGATCCTCACTCTCAAATCACTTGATGTCCTGGCACCTCTCCCAACTCCCCAATCTGCTCACACCTCACTCCACTACCTGCTGCCTTCGCTCAGCTACCCCAGATCTTCTGCACATCCCTCGTCCTGTAGATTACTGGTTAGAGCATTCGCCTCGCAAGCGAGAGGACCTGGGTTCGATTCCCAAGCAGGGATAAGTTTCCTTACTCCACGCGCCTCTTGTTTACCTAGCAGTAAATAGGAACCCGGTTGTTAGTCAAGTGGCGGATCGCTTTCCGGGGGTAATCATCCCTTTTTAAAAAAAAATGTGGTCACTCAATCCACAACTGTTTGTGGGGACGCTGCTGTGCGCAATTGGCTGCCGCGTTTCACCCACAAAATATACAGTCAGTTCTCCTTACTGTATATTCTGTGAAGCGATTTGAGACGTCTCGAAGACGTGATAAGGCGCTGTGTCAAATGCAAGGATTATTATTGTTGTTGGCAATGGTCATCGAGCAACAGTTGTCTTGTGACGCACGATTTCGCTCTCATCTGGTCTGCAGGATCCTTTCGGGGAAAGGCGAGGTCACTTTGATTACCAGACCTTACTGAACCGACTGCAAGCAATAAGGCAGCGATTGAAAACCAAAGCAGAGAACGAAGTGATAGACCCAGACTCTGACAGCAGCTCTTCTGGAACTGAGCAAGACAGTCAAGGCATCTCCCAGCCCTAGAACCCAAAGCTTGGGGCAGCTGCGGTCGCACAAAGGACCCACTGCTGATCGATGTTCAGTCATCCAGGAAAGAGCCCTCTCGCCTGGTTTTGTATATACACCAAAGATCTGGAATCTTTGTGGGTAGCCTGTTTTACTCAGCTTTTTGCTTTGTAATGGTAGAAAAGAGAGAGAGAGAGAGCTGTGGCTTGGGTAAGGATCACCTGACTTTTGTTTGATAATCTTAACTCTCTAACCCTATTTTTATGTACACTGCTGCTTTTACAACTCCTGTGAATCCCCCCCCCCCCCCGCCCCCCACCCAGTCCGTACCAGTGTGCTTGCCCCATCAAGAGCCTGCGTATGGATCTGAGAAGCGGGTGCTTTGAGAACACATCTGTGGGGACAGGACATCAGCAAGTGTCTTAAGAAAACAGCCAAATGCTGGTGGGTGGGTGGGTTAGAGAGTTCAAGACGATCAGTGAAAGAATGCCCTGGTGGTTTTCTGCCCACCATCTTTCAATTAACATCAAATCTACGCTGTTAAATTTAGCCCCGTCCAAAGATTTTCTTTTCTCTCACCAATCCGTGTTGTCCGGCTATTACAGATCAAGCTTGCTCTCGCAACTATTTGAAAAGACCCTCTTAACATGGCCCGAAAGTGGTTCATTGAACGCACACTAATTGGTACGGCCCAGTGACTTGTACTGATTGGCTCTCTGTTAGAAGGGTCTGTATTAGTGGCATTTGATTGTAAAATTTAAATGTTGTTTAAAGTGAACAGTAACCCCTGACCTCAGCATTCTCAGCCAATGGCCCTTATTGACCCTCCATTGTCTGCGGCTCTTTCTGAGTGTAGAGAATTCCTCCGAAGCCCCCTTGGCCCCGCACCCTTCGCTCGAAAGCAACTGACTGCTGTGGTTTCACCCACAAAGCACGCAGTCCATTCACTTCACAGTATATTCTGTGAAGCGCTTTGAAACGTCTCAACGACGTCAAAAGGCCCCATGTCAAAATCGTAAGGATTATTCAGACATAGCTCTCGCTGCGCATGGCTGACTCTCTTGACAGAAAGGTATATTTAACAGAAAAAAAAACTTTCTACGACCTCGCCTCACATATAGCATGTTTTAAAGGGCACACTGGTGTACCGCACGAAGGAATTGTTGAGCACAGTTCTAGACTGTTTGACAAGGGGTAACTGTTACAAAAAATTATAGAGTGCAGAACATTAAAGTCTAATCACACGCGTTGTATAATGTTGATTAACTGTGTAAAGGTAGCTGCATATTATCTACGAGTAGGGAAATCAACTAGCAATAACATAGAAGAAAAAAAGAACCCGTTTGAACACAGCACAGCTTAAGGATTTTTAGTCAAAGATGCTACACTGTGTTACTTGTAGTATGTTTTCCCCTTTAAGAGTTGCCCTTTCTCCAGCAATTAATTAGACCTGGAATCCTGTAGGTTTGACTTACAGAAAAAACACAATTGCAAGGAACGGTATCTCGCACGGGCGCTTTTGAAAAATTTAGTTTGGAGACTATTTGGGCTCAGTTTAGTGCAGTGTTTGACTTCTGTATCCCGTTAGAAGTTCCCGAATGTGCAGGAAGTATCATCGTTTCACCCCCCACCCCCCCGCTCCCTGGACCTGGGTTCGATTCCCGGGCAGGGCGAAACTTTGGGCAATTTACTCCACGTGCTTCTGTTTATTTAGCAGTGAGTAGGAACCTGGTTGTAAATCGATTGGCAGGTTGTTTTTCCGGGAATAATAATCCCATCAAAATAAATTTTAAAAATAAAATAATAATAATTTGGTCACTCAATCCACGGCTGCTTGTGGACGCTGCTGTGTGCAATTGGCTGCCGCGTTTCACCCACAAACTATACTGTCAATTCGCTTTACAGTATATTCTGTGAAGCGCTTTCGAAGACATCATAAGGCAAGGATTATCAAGTGCAAGGATTATTATTATTGTACCAGTCTACTTTCTGGAGTTTTGCATATATAAGCCATACTAATTGTCTTCCGTCTCTCTCCCTCCCTCACCAAACACCCCCCCACCCCCCAATCAGTGCTGATGTCCTGTGCTCTATTTAACTCTGATGTATGTTCACCTCCAGGTCTCGCTAACCAGAGGTAATATTCCTAACAATGCTGTTCTCCAAATGCACAAGGGCAGCGTTCTGTTAGCATCGTTTAAAATACAGTATTTCCGACAGAATACACAGTCACTACACCTTACAGTATATCCTGTCAGACGTCCTACCAACGTGAAAGGTTATGAAATGCAAGGATCATTATTGTCGATCTTGTTTTTAACATTGACGCATAAGGCACCTCGAGCCAATACATCTCGACCAGCGTGCAACTGAGCCTCGGACTAAATTCCTAGTGGAACACCTCGGGGCGGAGGTGCTGCTGTAGTGCGTCTACTTTAGGAGCAAAAGGGAGCAGGAGAGTGAGTTAAAGCGGTTGTTGTAACGCTCTCCTGCAGTTAAAATCTCCCTGTTCTCGCTGCTCATGCAGCTGGTTTGGCTAGTTTGGGGAGGAGGGACATGTCTCCGTGGCTGCCACAAGCCCTGAACTGCACTGATTGACGATGGGAAATCCTCCATCAAGAGAAGAGATATTCAACTTTATTTGTGGAATCCTGTAGCTGAGTGCATAGAGCACTCGCCTCGCAACCGAGAGGACCTGAGTTCGATTCCCGGGCATTGCGAAAAGTTGGGCAAGTTTCCTTACTCCACACGCCTCTGTTTACCGAGCAGTAACGAGGAACCCGGCTGTTTGTCGATTGGTTAATCGGTTTTCCAGGGGTTGAAAAAGTTAATTCATTAAAAGATGATAATATTTTGGTCACTGAATCCTTGACTGTGTATTCTGTGAAGCGCTTTGTGTCTTCTCGAACTACATCAAATGCAAGGATTATTGTTATTTTATTATAGAATTGGGGGGACAAATCATAGCAACGAAAGTATGGGAAGAGGATTTGGAAGCTGATTGGTTTTNGGGGGGGGTTGATTTTGGGGGAGATTCGGTGGTTTGTCCGAGATAGAAGTTGAGTAAACCTGCTGGAATAGCTAGCCAATTCTCCCATAATTAATTGCTGTTTTTTTCCTCCCCCCACCCCCCCACCCCTGTCGCTCGGTATGTACATAGCTTAGATATATTGGGCAGGTAAGTTCGTTCGGGCAATTTTCACAGTTAATGCATTTTCCATTAAATCTCTGTCACCAATGTTCTGTCAGTAGGTCAGTTCAGACTTGTAATCATTGTCCAGGTAGGCAGTTCTCTTCACTCTCTGTTCTTGTAATGCTGAGTGTATGGAAGGAGAGACAGAGCAATGTCGCTCAGGCTCTTACCCACTTGCTGTAAAAAAAAGTATTTTTGATGCAAAAAGCTTTTCTGTCATTTATGATGTTTAGGAAATGCAGATTTTTCCTGCTACATGCACACTTTGGAATGCCAGACTGAAAGCACTTGGGTACTTCAACAGTGTATGTTAGGCGTGTTCTGTGCGTGGAGGTGATGTGCTGAATCCTGGGCTGACTTAATAGTGGTACATGTCACATATTCATATTCTGTGTCTCTACCACTCGATGGACAGTCATTGAGTTCGCTCGCTGTAAATGAACAAGGTATTTTCACCATCTCAGTGTATTTCCAGAGGTGATCAAATTGCTCTTAACTTATTTTCAACTCCCCTTCAAGTTAAGTTGTGCCATGGTTAGATCCAGTAATTCCTCTGTAAGATTGTCACTGCCTTTTTGTTCTTACCAGCAGGACGAGAGCGAGAGAAAGACGGGGAGAGAGATCTTTCTCTCAACAAGCATTCTGTGAATATACACATGATTTAATTAGCCAATTAAATAGAAGTATCAAAAAAGACATTTCAGACGTAGATTATTGGTGTGTCCTGTTACTGGTGGATGTCTGGTTTTCAAAGATAAATCTCAAAGACAAATTGAGATAAAACTTTAATCATTGTTTCACAAAAGAAAGCAAAATCCCATACTCATTTGACAGCCAGGTTAATATCTTTCAGGAATTCACATCATGGAGTTTCATAAATACAGTGGAACCCTTTTATATAGTTGAACCTTGTTTGCAGTGAATCTATTTCACTGTTTACCCACGAGTTTGCGTTTACATGTAACCAGAGCTTGGCTCGATGTAGACTAAAGGCCTCTTAAATCCCCAAAATGTGCTGTTTCCAGTCGTGACCTGAAAATCACATGTTTTTTTTTTAAATTGCTATCCTGAAACGGATTCCTGTACGTGAACTGGAATGAAGGCTTTTAAACCGCAACTAATATAACCGGAAGGTGTCCTGTTAGTCTATGACAAAGTGCTTGATATTGTTAGTTCTGGTGATCTGATGATCACATCAGTGCTGAGTATGAGACAGACCATAAGCATTGGTAATAAGGTTTCACCATAAGCAGAGTGCTCATCTGGCCGTGAACTTGGGGCATTGGTGTTTTTCTGAAATCAGAATAATTGCACTGTTTTTAAAGGGCATTAACTCCACACGTGTTATCAAGTGGTGTCTAGAACACAGGTCTGTTCCATTTGTAAAACTGCTGCATGTCGTAAGTCTGCTACTCAATGGAGAGAACGGGGACTGTGTTCCCGCCTCAATCACTTGGCAATTGGTGCCCTTGCCGCAGACTGAATTCTCTGTCCCTCTCAATGAGGATGGAGGGAATGGGAGTGGGAAGATTGGGGATGGAAACTATTTAAACCAAAGGCAGAATTACTTTGAGCCGCCCGGTAAATTTCAATGTCGCTCGCCCCCCCCCCATAGCAGCACATTGCTTGGGGGTCAAACCCCAATCTCTGTTTGTTGTGTGGTCTCAGTAGAAAAAATTGGGGTCCAGAAATAGTGGTTTCTAACTGGGTTCCTCAGCGAGAAAACCGAGTGGGGTCCGTCTCCCCTTCGGTAACCGGGAGTGCGTTACTCCGACTCGTCTCAGAGTCCTGATCCTAAATTGGAGCCGCAGTACTGCTGTCTTGTCACAGGTGTTTTGATCCTCAGTTCTGTTGAACTAACCCCTGCAAGAAGTGGCTTTAATATGCATAATGGTGAAAAAGAAACCAGTTCACAAGTTCCGCGCTTATCCTGAGGCTTTTGTGTTTGACTCCAATTCGTTATGATCTTGGAACAGTCGCCTTTCCCAGGTCCAACAATGGTGGTCAGCAGCTAACAGGAGCTCGTCGTGTATGATTCCCTACGGAGCTAGTCATGGAAGCTGTCAATGACAGCCACACAGAGGTGTAAGTCTTGTGAGAAATCTATGTTTGCTATGGTAATCTATGGCTGGGATCGAGTGGGATTGGAACCTGTGACCTTCTAATTCAGAGCTGTAAATTGGGTTGCCGAGTTAAGGAAGGAAAATAATCTAGATGTCCTGGTTAACATCCAATGATCTCCTGCTCTGATCTTCCTTCCCCCTTTGCTAGAGAGTCTGTAGCAGGGCTTTGTGTGAGGACAGCATCAGTTGTGCTGCCCTTCCTCACTGTCCAGGCTCACACGCCAATAGCTACTTGAGTGAGACACCAAGCCCTAATGGATCAACATCCCAGAATGAGCTAATGTCTGCTGAGGGTGGACAGTTCTGCCCAGTCCTTGCCAAGGTTTTGTTGTACAAACACATACAGGAGTGAAATCATCCAGCTCACTAAGTATTCAACCAAACCAATTCTTGCCTGTCGTATCTTTGTTCCTCATGAGGAAGCCCAGATCTGGACCTGCACCCCTCTGCTCTTTTATACCATGTAAAAAGACCTGTGATCACTAGTGATTACCAGATTTTCGCATCGGGCATTTGAAATACCGAACGGCCGTCTGGTTATAGACTGGAATGCAATTTGAGTGAGTGGGCACTGCCAGCAATTCCTTAGCCTCTTGGTGTTGTGAACAAAGGAGCTCTCCTCCAAGCTTGGGTTATCAATCCTCCGCAGTGGGCGGCCGGGGTCTTTCTCACCCCATCCCCTCAAGGTGGGTACCGGATACTCATGTATGTCAAACACAAGCTGGCACTGTTATCCAAGATATCCGAAGGGGGTGGGGGGAAGGTTTGGTCAGTCAGTGAATGGTTCGGGGATGTTCCCAGTGTGGAAGGACAATGCAGAACTGAAGGTTTGGGGCTGGCTTACAATATGGATTTAACAGTTGTGTCTTCTTAAGATACTTAATGCTGTTGAATCAAATTGTTCCAACAACTAATATGCATACTAGGAAAAAGCACTGATGTTTATACTGTTTCATATTGTACATACGTGACAATTAAAATCTTTGGTGCAATAAAATTTGCAGATAGCAACTTTCCAAAAAACACTGTCCGTTTTGATTTATTTGATTCCCCTCCTCTGGGTCTTTTTCTAAATCCCTTCCCCCTCGCGGCTTGATGTCCACCTCGCCCAGTGTTGCGGGGTCTTTTTAACACAAATTGATGCTCCGAAAATGCAGGTTGCGTGTGTGGATGTAAACTGACAGAGAGACGCCAACTGCAGAAAAACTTGCAGAGAAATATCGCAACTTTATTTGGTGTTCAAAAGTGACCATTCCAACTTGGTGAGTGAACTCCGAGGCGAGAGCGGGGTGGACGCAACTTTTAACTGGAGGATTCGAGAGAACAAACCACACGTGAGATTAATTAAATCCAAAATCAAGTTGCAACAACCAAACCGATGGCAAAATACTGCAGGTGCTGGAAATCCATATACTGACAAAGATGAAATGTCTGTCCGTCTGCTAATAACTCAATAACTGATTGACCTGGAGACATGATTTATTCCTCACCGGAAAGGTCTTGCATGGGGGAGTGTCATGGGGATCTCCTATCGTTGATGAGCTATATTAAAAAAGCCCAAATATGAGGTACACCTGATGCATGGTTTTCTGCAACAAAGTTTTGACAGAGGAAATCACTTCTAGAGTTACATTCGAAGAGGGACAGAGGGAAAAAAATTCAATTTTACATTTTAAAAATGAGCTGAATCCCATATTCTCTCGAGGGTAAGAGTGAGGAGGTGAGAGAGGGCTTTTGGGGGGGTGGGAGGGAGAGGGGGCAAGAGGGGAAAGGTTATAAGAGCGAGTGAATGTGTCAGGAGGAGAGAGAGGGTTCAAGTGAAGCCTGAGGTCTGTTCAGCAAGAGTCCTCCCACTGAGTCTACCCACTGAGTCCTCCCACAGGAGTCCTCCCAGCTGAGTATAGATAGGGACGAAATGTCTGTGTGTCTTGTCTGTATGGCAATCTACATTCCATATTGGATCCTTTGGTTGCAAGCGAAGCTACAACGGGTGTGAATTCAAAATAAATCTATGGAGGAGAAAGTAAATTAACGTTAACTGACAAAAGGTCATGGACCAGAAACGTTAACTCACTTTCCTCTCTCCGTAGACGCTGCCTGACCTGCTGAGTGTTCCTAGCGACTTGTTTTTGTTTTATACTCAAAGCCCGATGTGGTCAGTGAAAGCCTCGAGTCAACAGCGGTTTTCTCGTGCCGTCAGCTCTGCGTTTCTGTGAAGAGAATACTGTGTACAGGTTCTGATTCCATCATTGGGGAAGGAATCCTAGTGGCCCACATTGCAAGTTTCCCCAGGCCATGAAGAATCTCCTGCATCTCTCGGCCTCTAGGATTTGTAATTGAACTGAAAATGAATTGCAGGTCATGTCAGGCGAGCGACACCCTCATCGTGTGCTACAACACCCTCCATCATCATCCCTTTTCGATTCTAAATGCAACTGCGCTCAATTTGTTAACCGACCCACGTCGATATATTCCCGATTCAATGACTGTCCCCCAAACTGGAGTGAAATAGCACCTGACCACCGCTTCTCAATGCGAATGTCAGGCAACTTTTGCCCCCCCCTCCCCAGTCTCTCTCTAACCCGTTCTAACCCCGTCACCAGTTCACCGATCGCTGTCCCTGGGCACAAGCTGTTTGAAATGCGGAGCGGTGATGACTTGCCACCTGAGACCAGTGACGGTAAAAAGTTCCCTCACAAACAACACAGGTCAAAAAATACTTCAAGTTCGGAATTCTCTTGCGGTTTTACAATACTTTGAATATTCAGATACCAGAACTGCAATGGCTGACAAGTGTCTGATACGTACAGAAACCCATCACCGTGTTTAAAGAGTATCCACCAACACCCGGAAATTACCCTGGGTCTGGAATAGAACACAGAAAGCCCCCTCTCCCCTGGTAGGAAGAGGGGTATTATCATGGCGATCTTTCGTCAACCTCTTCCGGAGAGACATCCCGGGAATAAAGTTCCGAAAACAGAGCCGGCAGCCAATACTGGGGCTCCTCAGAGGATTGTCTGTCGATCCAGGCCAGACCTTCCTTCAACAGGTGTTCCTGGAAGAGTGAAATGGCTGGAGTGTAAAGGCTGTTAGTCCCACAACTGTCCCGTTAGTTAGAGCTCTCGCCTCGCAAGTGAGAGGACCCGTGTTCAATTCCCGGGCAGGGCGAAATGTAGGCAAGTTTCGTTACTCTAAACGCCTGTTTATCCAGCAGTAAATAGCCCACAAATATACAATCAATTCACCGTACAGTATATTCTGTGCAACGCTTTTGAGACATCGCGACGACGTGATAAGGCGCCATTTATCACATCTTTGATTATTATTATATTAGTCATAATACAACAGAGCGCGGCACGGGGACAGGAGACAGAACCCAAATCCCTGCAACGGTTCAGAACATACCAGCACGTGGTTAGCTCGCTCAGTCTCCCACTTCAGGCTCGCTTTGATTTCACTGACCGTCACATATCCATTTTTCTGCAAAGAAACACAGACAATGTGTGTCGTGGGGGGAAATCTCTTATTATGCAGCAACTAAAAGCTTTATTAGCGTAACAACAACAACATGCACTTACATAGCGCTCTCCACACAGGGTAACGTCTCAGAGCACTTAACGGGGGGAGGGGGTGGTAAGCACGGTCGAAGAGGAAGGTTTTCAGGCGGTACTCGAAAAGGGGGAGAGAGGGGGCAAGGCGGAGGGATTGAGGGAGAGTGTGCCAGAGTTTCGGGGCATACTGGCTGAAAGCGCGACTTCCAATTATTATTCTATGTTATTTATTAATGATTATCACAGCGCAGTGGTTACAGCGCTCGCCTCGCAAGCGAGAGGGCCCGGGTTCGATTCCCGCACGGGGGAAACCTGGGGCGCCCATTCATCCCGTGGATTTTGCACGGTTTCGAGGAAGAGAAGAAGTCGAACAGGAGCACGGCAGGACAGCAGCCCGTCGCATCACTAACTCACTGATGGCGGCGGGCAGTAACGCATGGCAACCCACGCCAGCAGCGCAGCATCACAGAATCATAGGATCACACACAACGCAGAAGGAGGCCATTCGGCCCATCGTGTCAGCCGCCCAAATCAATCCCACTCCCCCGCCCTCTCCCCCGTAGCCCTCCCCACGATTGATTTGGTCACTCGATTTGTGGGGACGCTGCTGTGCGCAATCGGCTGCCGCGTTTCGCTCGCAAAAATATTCAAGTCAATTCACTTTACGGTGTGTTCTGTGAAGCTCTTTGAGACGTCTTGCAACGCGCTAAAAGGTGCTATCATTATTATTATGCGTCAAATGCAAGCGTTCTTATTATATTCCGCGAAGCGCTTTGAGACATCTCGGAAGACACGATCAGGCGCCGCATCAAATTCAAGGATAATTATGATCCCCAGAGCAGCGAGAGCTCATCCCGTATCCTTCCTCTCACCTCCGCTATCTGCAGGACCACAGTGTGATCCATGTTCAGCTCAGCAGGGACCGACTGCACCAGGTACGTGCCTCCAACCGGAATCATGCTGAACCCGTTGCCCAAGGCTTTCAGCTTCTTGATCGCTCGGATCAGGTCATCCCTGCACAAAAGTCAAGAGGAAACGGGGAGGTGAGAAGACAATAGTAATAATAATAATCCCTGCATTTGATGCAGCGCCTTATCACGTCTTCGAGACGCCGCAAAGCGCTTCCACAGGATAGACTGTAAAGTCAATTGAACGTGTACTTTTGGTCAAAAGGCGGCAGCCAATTCATTGCGCACGGCAGAGAGTGTCCCGCAAACAGCCGTGGATTGAGCGAACACGTTAGAAAATTATTATTTTTAAAACGTATTTGTTGAAGGCTTCATTAGGAGCCAATCGACGGACAACCCGGTTCCTGCTGACTGCTGGCAAACAGAGGCTCGGGGAGCGGACACGGCCAAAGAAATAAAGAGTTGGGAGTCGGAGAGAGACGGAAAAGGTTAAGGGAGGGAGTTCCAGAGGTTGCGGTTAGTTGTTAAACCCCCACCCCCACCCAGCGCATGCCAGTGCACCCCGCATGCACACACACACACACGCACACACGCACACATGCACACAAACGCAGCACTTCAAACCGGACAAGGCTGACAAATAAATCCGTTCGATTAGAGCTTTGGTCCACTCACTGGCTCACGTCCTGCGCCAGCTTCCCTCGTCCTTTCAGCACCCGCTGGTGCAGCTCCTCCAGTGTAATCAGCCCTGGTGGGTGGGTGAAGAAGAGGGTCTGAGACGTGTGTCCAGTAACTGAACCCATTTGTGCAGCACATCTTCGCATCTACATTTGCTAACAGGAACTTTTCCTTCCTCCTATGCAGCTCACCTGCCTGGTCTCTGCTGCTCCTGAGCACAGAGACTCACACTGGGGCCAGTTCGACATTTGCTAAAGACTGCTACAGGAGATAGAGATAAACCGAGACAGACACTCACACACACACACGCCAGACAGACACACACAAAGACATACACAGACACACACATAGAGACACAGACACACACACACAAAGACATACACAGACATACAGATAGAGACACAAACACACACACAGACATACACACACACACACAGATACACACACACACATACAAAGACATACACAGACATACACACACACAGACACACAGAGCTCAGTCTAGTCTAGTGCAGAGCTGGGGGTAGCGCTGCAATGTAAGGAGGTGCCGTCCCTCAAATGAAACATTAAACCAAGCTGCATGTCTCAGGATCCTAACCTCTGATAAGGTTAAGGTCCCGAGAAGCTCTTCAAGTCGTCTTGACGATGGGATAAGGAGCTCTATCAAATGCAGTTACGAAAATACTTGGAAAATAAGAGATTTGGGTTTGAGAAAAGTAGTAAATACCAAACGAGAAGTTTCGAATTTTTCCGTGACACAATACGCAGATTTCCTGGGGGCGAACGGGGTGTCTGGGATACACGGAAACCCATCACTGTGCTTAAGAGTATCCGAACCAAGCTGAGAATTCCCTGCATCCCACCTACGTATTAGGCGCAGGTTCGCAAGAGCCAAGGCTTGGGGACCCCAGAGTGTGCGTTGGGGTAACTGACGGGGGAGTCTAACCGGCTAAAACGACATAGCTTGCCATTGATAGCACTGTCTGGCAAGCTTTCCTGCTGCTCGTTCAGCTTACAGGGTTTACAGGATCCAGGGATACAGCACAGGCGAACTCCGAATCCAGCCCAATAACACCGATAGAAAGTGGAAACAAACCAACGTGCCTCACCTCCATTTCTGTGCTTCAAAGCCAGACAGACCTCAATGATTTGCACTCCCAGCTCGTAGTAAAAATCTCCAACTCCTAGCATTTCAGACCAAAATCCTTTGCCGGCTGAAAGCATCAAAAAGAAACTGTAAACACCACCAGTTTGTACCAAGACACGTTTACCAATGAGACGTCCGTTCGCTTGAGAATGAGTTGCACGTCTCAAAGACACAATGTTCAAAAGTAAATTAATAAAGTCACTCAAACCCACGACTGTTTGTGGGGACGTTGCTGTGTGCTATCGGCTGCCACACTTCGCCCACAAAAAATATATATAGTCAACTCGCTTTCGGCCTTCCCGGGAATCGAACCCAGGTCCTCTCGTGAGGTGAGTGCCTCTAACCGCTGAGCTACAGGACTCCGGTGAAGGAAGGAATAAGCCGGGTTACATGCTAAAGGATCCACTCCGATCGTCGCACACATATCCTGGAACTGAACCCGAAACTGCGAGCTTTTGCGAATCTCCTGCTTGTGTTTCCTGGCAAACTCCTCCAGGTGGGTCTTGAACATCTCCAGCTGCTTTGACATCTGGACAGAGTTAAGAGAGAACCGGACAAGGTCAATCCTGGTGTCCTGGCCAACACCACCAGATAATAATAATACTAACAGCAATAATAAACCCTGCATTTGATACGTCTTCAAGACGTCTCAATACACTGTACAGAATTGACTGAATGATTTGTGGACGAAAACGCAACAGCCAATTCGCCGCAAGAGTGTCCCACAAACCGGTTTTAGCTGTTTAGATCTCCCAGCAGTTTCCCCGATGCGCACTTTGGGGGTGTCCAAGCCTTGGCTCTCGTCAACCAGCGTCTAAAACACCCCGGAGTCTGGGTTCCGACCCCAGCCCTCGCCCTGGGAAGAGGGCCCTTTCCATTCTGGACGCAGGGAAGTTTCTAAGTGGAGTTTCCGGTCCGCACGTACGTGGAACTCTCAGTCAGATGACGGTTACTCTTAAGCGTCGGCGAGGTTCAGTGTGTCGGACACCCAGCGACCAAAACCAATGCTCACCTGAATCAGCTGATCCTCAGCCAACTCCGTTCCTCTCTCTTTGTACCTTGCCTGGAGACAACAACAGCAACAACAACTTGCATTAATGCCGTGCCCTTCACGTGGGGTAGCGTCACGGAGCGCTTAACAAGAGAGGGAGCTTGAACCCAAGCTGGAGGGAGGGAGGAGGTGACCGTAAGGGGAAGGGGGACAAGGCGGAGGGACTGAGGGAGAGTGTTCCAGAGTTTCGGGGCGCAATGGCTGAATTGAGAGCGAGGTACGGTCGGGGGTGGGCAATGTGACGGAGGGGGAAGGGGAGGGGTCTTGGTTAGGGGCCGGATGTGGGGATCGAACCTGACGCCCAGGTTACGTACAGGTTCGGTAAGTCTCGGGGATACGCCGGTCGATCACTGTATTGGAGGTCAGTGGAAATGATTTGTTATTAACAATATTTATTATTATTATAGTAAAGACCATCACATTATTAGTGTCAATTGGCAATGGTTTGAGCTGCGTAACCCCTTAAACCGAGAGGTTAATTAAACCCGTCCTCAAAAAAATAATAAAAACGATAATAATTTGGTCACTCAAATCCGCGCCTGTTTGTGGGGACGATGGCAAAACACACAGTCACTACACTTGACAGTAAAACGTGCTGGAGAGCGGTGGGGGTGCAAACAATAACCCTTATGTTATTAATCCCTCGGGTTCCTGTCTGGTCTATTTGGTTGATGGCCCCAAGTGCAATAGTCTGGGGGGGGAGAGAGAGGGGGGAGGGGGGAGAGAGAGGGGGGGAGAGTGGGGGAGTGGGGGGGGGGGGGGGAGAATAGGGGGAGTGGGGAGGGAGAGGTGGGGGGAGGGAGAGAGAGAGGGGGGAGGGGGGGAGGGGGGAGTGGGGGAGAGAGAGGGGGGAGTGGGGGGGAGTGAGGGGGGAGGGGGGAGAGAGAGGGGGAGTGGGGGGGGAGAGTGGGGGGAGTGGGGGGGAGAGTGGGGGGGAGAGTGAGTGGGGGAGTGGGGGGAGAGGGAGAGAGAGAAAGGAGGAGACAGAAAGGGAGTGAGAGAGGGGGGAGGAGGGTGGGGGGGAGAGTTGGGGGGAGGGGTGGGGGGGAGAGAGAGAAGGGGGAGGGGTGGGGGGGAGAGAGAGAAGGGGGGAGGGGTGGGGGGGAGAGAGAGAGGGGGGGAGAGTTGGGGGGAGAGAGAGGGATAGAAAGGGGGAGAGAGAATGTACTCACTTCAGTGAGTTTCTTTTTGGCGATGGCTCCCGCTCCCACCCCTCGGCGGTGCATCTCTCAGGACAGAGAGGGAGAGGGAGAGGGTACGGGGTGTGGGTGGGGGGTACAGGGCTGTGGGGGGGGTACAGGGCTGTGGCTGTGGGTGGGGGGTACAGGGCTGTGGGTGCGGGGAGGGCTGTGGGTGGGGGTGGGGGGAGGGCTGTGGGGGGGTACAGGGTGTGGGTGCGGGGAGGGCTGTGGGTGGGGGGTACAGGGCTGTGGCTGTGGGGGGTGTGGGGGAGGGCTCTGTCCTGTGGCTGAGGATCGCCCTCTGGTTCCTGGTTCAGCGCTGTGACATCATCCGCTCATCATCACAGCGCTACACTGAGCCCTTTAAACCCCAACACCAACACAGCCACAGCCCCTCCCACACCCACACCCTCACACACCCCCTCACACAGCCCCTCACACACACCCTCACACAGCCCCTCACACACCCACACCCTCACACACCCCCTCACACAGACCCTCACACACCCACACCCTCACACACCCCCTCACACACCGCCTCCCACACCCTCACAGCCCCTCCCACACCCTCACACAGCCCCTCACACACCCTCACACACACCCACACACACCCCCTCACACAGCCCCTCACACACCCACACCCTCACACACCCTCACACACACCCACACACACCCCCTCACACACCCTCACACAGCCCCTCACACACACCCTCACACACCGCCTCACACACCCCTCACACACACCCTCACACACCGCCTCACACACCCCTCACACACACCCTCACACAGCCCTCACACACACCCTCACACACCGCCTCACACACCCCTCACACACACCCTCACACAGCCCCTCACACACACCCTCACACACCGCCTCACACACCCCTCACACACACCCTCACACAGCCCCTCCCACACCCACACCCTCACACCCCCCCACACAGCCCTCACACCCCTCACACACACCCTCACACCCCCTCCCACACCCCACCCCACCCTCACACACCCCCTCACACAGCCCCTCACACACACCCTCACACAGCCCCTCACACAGCCCCTCCCACACCCCACACACACACCCTCACACACCCCCTCACACAGCCCCTCACACACCCTCACACACACCCTCACACAGCCCCTCCCACACCCACACACACACCCTCACACACCCCCTCACACAGCCCCTCCCACACCCACACACACACCCTCACACACCCCCTCACACAGCCCCTCACACACCCTCACACACACCCTCACACAGCCCCTCCCACACCCCACACACACCCCACACACCCCCTCACACAGCCCCTCCCACACCCACACCCACCCCACACCCCCCTCACACAGCCCCCCACACACCCTCACACCCACCCTCACACAGCCCCTCCCACACCCCACACACACCCTCACACACCCCTCACACAGCCCCTCCCACACCCCACACACACACCCTCACACACCCCCTCACACACCCTCACACACCCTCACACACACCCTCACACGCCCCTCCCACACCCCACACACACACCCTCACACCCCCTCACACAGCCCCTCCCACACCCCACACACACACCCTCACACAGCCCCTCCCACACCCCCACACACACCCTCACACACACCCTCACACAGCCCCTCACACACCCACACACACACCCCCTCACACCCCCCTCACACAGCCCCCCCACACACACACACACACACCCTCCCCCCCCCCCCCTCCCCCCCCCCCCCCCCTCACACAGCCCCCCCCCCCCCCACCCGGACACAGCGAGCGCCTCCCCCCACGGTGTGTGTGTGTGTCACAGGGGCCGGTGTGTGGCTGTGATGCGGTGCCACAATGCCGACCCCTGAGCATTGTATCTGATGTGAGAATATATTTCTGTGCTTCCACCATCGCTCGGTCGCCTTCCTACGTCTTCCCTACCAACCCGCCCGGCCGCCCGCCCGCTCCCTCCGCTCCTCCGCTCCCTCCGCCCAGCGGGCTCCGAGCTGCTCCGTGTCTCCCGCCCGACCCGCCCTACCCTCGGTGGCCGGGCTTTCAGCCTCTCCGCCCCCGCGCTCTGGAACTCCATCCCACGGTCCCTTGGCCTCGCTTCCTCCCTCGCCTCCTTCAAGGCCGATCTCAAGACCTTTCTCTTCGACCTCTCTGCCTTCCCTCACCCCTACACCGCCCCTCCGCCCCACCCGGCTCGGGCCCCGACAGCTGACTGTTCAGGGCTTTGGGACATCCTCCCGACGTGAAAGGCGCTACAACAGTAATAATCATCATCATCGTCATCATCCTCGCATTTTGATACAGCACACGTATCTGGAAGACGTGATCAAGCCCTATATGGCGTCCGTTTGGTCAACATTGAGTGACCCACAGACAGTCGTGGATTGAGGGACCAAATTTATTATTAATCAGAAATGAAGTGAATGTCGTTCTTTTTGTTGCTGGCGTGAACAGCATCCCACAAACTATTCTGGCACAACCTGTGTGAGTCAGCACCCGGCGGGAGGCAAAGCCGGGCACACATGTGTTTGCGTGTGCGAGCGTGTGATTGTCTACATGTGTGCACGTGGGTGTTTGCGTTGGTCTGTGTGCGTGTGTGTGCACGTGTGTTTCAGCGCCTTGGGACGTCCTCCTGACATCGAAGGCGTCGTGTAAAAGCAAAGAAAACCAAAAAGGGAGCTCCTGTTCAGAAGATTTAATTTTTATTGTGGGTGGGGGGTGGGGGGTGGGGGGAGTGTCACGTTTACAAAGATCTCCTTGAGATATTTACAGCAATGCTACAAACCAAACTGAATATTAAGCAGTAAATTAATCAATGCATCAAAGGCACATGTAGATCTGGGGATGTCATTGTGTGTTTGGTGGTGAGGATGTTACTTGGACTCTTGAATCCTGTGGGAAACAAAAGGTATACGTTAGAGACCGTGAGGGATAATAATATAATAATAATAATCATTTTTGCCTTTGATATAGCGCCCTATCACGTCCGGGAGACCTCCAAAAGCATTTCACAGAATATACTGTAAAGTGAATTGACTGTTTTGTGGGTGAAACATACAGTCCACTTGGCATTTTGAGGGTGGGAGGGGAGATAGATCTCAATGTAACATAGACCATGGATTTCCCCCCCACACCCGACCCCCCCACCCCCGGGTTGATTATATGAACATATGGCTCAGGGTCTTGCCATTATTTTGTGATCCTCACAGCAATCTGAAGTCTGTCCAGAAGTTCCTGGAGGACTAGATGCTTCAGGAGTGAGTAAGCAGGCTCCGCAAACTGAGCTTGGCTAAAAATGTGGGGGGGAAAGGAAATTAAGAGTCTTGGTCAGAACCCGGAGTCACAGGTTCGCTGAACTCAGCAAGTTTCCTTACTCCTGGTTGTTAGTCAATTGGGGGATCGCTTTTCCGGGGGTAATAATCCCTTCAAGAATTAATAATAATAAAATGGTCACTCAATCCACGACTGTTTATGGGACACTGCTGTGTGCAATTGGCTGCCGCGTTTCGCCCACAACATATACAGTCAATACACAGTGTATTCTGTGAAGCGTTTTGAGACTTCTCGAAGATGTCATAAGGCGCTGTATCAAATGCAAGGATTATTAGTTATTATTTTTATCTGATCTCAGACACTGGCGGTCTTTGGAGTTACAGTTGGCCTCAATGCCTGTTGGTTAAGGAAAGGAACATGAGTCAAGTAGGTTGACACCTTCTGACCACTACTCACTATGTGTCAATGTGCCTCAGTTGGTAGTATTGTTGCCTCTGAGCCAGAAAGTTGTGGGTTCAAGCCCTGATGCCGGGATTTTCAATTCACGTCATCGAGGCTGACAGTGAGGGATTTGCACCGAGATGGGGTTTGGGATCGGGAGAGGTGGGGGGCAGGAAGTGTGGGGTAGGAGGGGGTGAGGCAAAGGGACTGTGGGATGGAATTCCACTACTAACTCACTACTAAAGCTCACAGATGAACCTAGGTTCTAAGATCAAAGTCCCAATGTAGGCTTGGTCAGGTTCCACAGGCACTGATAGCCCTCCAGACCTCATGATGACCTGTAACCAAGTGACTATTCTTCATGTGGACGTCTTTCTCAAATGCATCCACTGTAGAACGGCACCCACAAATCTAGTCCCTTATGAGCGGGGCCTCTGCACCAATCATCACCAAGTCCTGCAAGATTGATTCAAAGCTTAATCATAATAGTAATAATCCTTGCATTTGATACAGCACCGTATCACGTCTTCAAGACGTCTCGAAGATCTGCACCGAAAATACTGCAAAGTGAATTGACTGTATATTTTTGGGGTGAAACGCGACAGCCAATTGCGCACAACAGCGTCCCACAGACAGTCGTGGATTGAGTGACCAAACTATTATATCTTTTTTAAGGGATTATTACCCCCGGAAAAGCAATCCGCCAATCAACTAACAACCGGTTCCTATCACTACTAGGTAAGCAGAGGCATGTGGAGTAAGGAAACTTTCCCAACATTTCACCCTGCCCGGGAATTGATCCAGGTCCTCTCGCTTGCAAGTACTTTGACCGCTAAGCTGCTGCAGGACTCCATCTAAAGGGGGCGAGGAGTTCATAAAGCCAGTTCTAGCAACCTAACCATCATCTTAATTAAAATATGCCATTTTAGCATAAGACAAGTAGCATATCTAAGACTATGGGTTAAGAGATGCCACTTTAACCTTGTACAGATAAGCCCCACATTGAGCTTAATAGTTTTTAGGTTGACACTCCACTCACCTCCGGTTTCCTTGGTGCTTTAAGAGACAAGTGAGGAAGGTTCTGTAAGGCTGGGCCCCTGCGTGGAGGAGGTGAGCCAAGCTGGGAGCCTGAGCTGGCATGTCCATGTGAAGTTCTCTCCTCACTGTGCCACTGGGTTCCCTGAAGCGTAAGTAAATACTCGTCAACAACAGAGCTCAGTGCAGTGAGGTTTGTTAGCTTGTTAACCACAGGCTAATCTCCGGAAGTTAATAATAATCATAATGATAATAACTCTTGCATTTGAGCGCCTTATCATGCGGTTGAGACGCCTCAAAGCTCTTCACAGGACACACTGTAAAGTGAAT